TTAAATATATTAATTAATTTGGCTACTCCTTACCATTATCTTTTTTTTTTTCAGATTACTTATTGACAGCATTTATTTCCTCTTTTTACAGCATTTTCATGCCTACAACAGATGCATATTTTTGACTCATAATGTCTCTCAAATCCCATTTGTCTTATTGTTGAACGTACACGTGAACACGCTATATTCTTAATAGCGTTTTGTTGCTTTCTTTAGTGAAAGTTGTAAAGCACATTCTAGGGTCGTAATTAAACGTGAAACGTGGGGTTTCGTAACATCCAAAAACAAAAGTGTTATTCGTGTTATTAAAAGCAACAGTATTTTTTTTTCTATCCAAATGATTTTATGATATACCAAGTTCCGAATAAAAGAAACGTGAAGAATTTAATAACTTTTCGCGTTCCATTAACAATTATAACTATATCAATAAATAATTACTTTTACAGTATGGAGCAATGTTATAATAAAATTCATAGTTTAAGAAATTGATGCAACGTATCAATTAACTATCCATTGTAATCAAAAAAAAAACGGATATTATCTACGTTAACTCCAAGAACACAACATAAAGTTGTGATTTAGAACCCAAGTAATTAGCTTCTAATATTGGATGAAAAAAATCCATAAGACGATATTTTTTTAAAGTTTAGATATACGTTTTAAAACATAAACATAAGAAGTCAATTTTATGAAGTGGTGCTTATACTTTTGAATTATTTGTATTTCCTTGTTTAAAAAATTTCTTTCGCATCTTTCCTTAACTAACTTTTGTTCTTTCGAGAGCCATATATCTGTTCGATATTCAAAACATTACTTCTTTAAAACAACCGATTTCACTTGTATCGCTGCTCATCCGAATTTTAATAGAATTTTAATCGTAAACTTTGTACTCGCGTCCTCATCGTCTGAGAGACTCATCTTAAACTTCCTCCGATAAATCTCTCGAGCACTTTAGGATACACAGTCTACTAAATCCTCATAGTAATGTCAACAGCGACATCGCAGTATAAGTAATTGCAGCGAAGAAGCGCAAACACCTCGCGGGGCCGGGCTAATCGCTTAATCAAAATTTATTCCGCACTTTGATTTTAAATTTGGAACGCAACATTTATTACTGGACCCCTCGGAGCAACCCTTCGCGGGGCCGCTTCATTATCGCGGATTAAGGCTGCGGAATATTCCATCGATCGCATCGACTCCGCCAGTATTCATTTTCAATTAAGCGCCAAGTATTTTATTAAGTTCGGGCGCGGAATTGATGAGTTCTGCGAACTAATATTTACAATGGCGCACGCTGTATGTGCGGTGGGCGCTCGTCACCTGAGAGGTAGTACGAGTATAGCGGTTTATGCCAGAATCGCTTCACAGTTACAAATTTAATTTTAGCCTGTCGTCCTCATTATTTTCCATGTATAAGAAAGTTTGTCGATTTCTTGGCTAAGAAACTCTTCTTTCGATATGTTAATGTGTCAATTAATGGTAAAGCATTTAATCTGTACTCTATTCGCTAGTAGTTAGGAATCACATCGTTCAAGTTTTCCAGTGTTTTTATACAAGTATTTAAAAATATTAAAAAAAATAACTAACAGAGTGACCTTACGAGTATTCCACATACTGAACTCATGGACACATCTACTTTATACACTTTAATCACATTTTTTAATCACATCACTCATCTTATTTATCTAAAAAAAAGATCTTATAAAGTAACGTTTTTAAATATTCCTTAATGTAGAGTAACAAAAACCCACTGTAAAATAAATCATAAAAGAATCATGACATACTATCAGTGAAATCTGATCAAAGCCTTGAGAACCTACCTGACATAACATTTACTCAGTGACAAACGACGTTCCCATATTTAATTGTACAAAACATTTCGAAGCGTTTCTTTACATTACAAATATTTTATCCATGCAAACAGCATCAGATTGCTCCATCGGAACCAAATGATAAATCGATACTCAATTTAAATCGAACGCAGTACCTCGCAAAGCGACTAGAACCGATATATTAGATGTTCTTTACCAAAGCATTGTTCGTACGTCGAATACGAGGTGACTCCAATTTCCTGGCAACGGCGGCGTTTCCGAGGCCCCGACGTCAAACGGGAACTTTTGAAGGCAGAACCCAGCAATACAATCCGATGCACCCATGCACCTTTGTGCCTACACATCCGCAAGCAAATAGACTACTGTTGCGTACACAGACGCTATTTTTGAATGTACGTTTTAGACATTCAACAGTGAAAAACTTCTCCTTCGATTTCGATATTGTAGTTCTGAATGTTACGAAAAATTGTACATCAAGAAATTTTGCAGTCTGACATTGGAAAAATGTCATTGCACAAAAATCTTATTGGCGTTACATAAATTTACAACCTGATTATACAAAGTGCATTATCGTTTAATTATACAATAATGATATTTTGTGTTAAAAAAATCGGCCAAGTGCGAGTCATAAACACAAAGATACAAAGGGTTCCGGACCATTATCTATAAAAACAGCAAAAAAAAACATGTCATGTTGTATGGAAGCCTCACTTAAATATTTTTATTCAGTTTTTTAGTATTCGTTGGTATTTTTATTCAGTTTTTAGTATATAATTATAGCGGCAATAGAAATAATACATACATGAAAATCTTACTAGCACAGTTCATGAGTTACAGCCTGGTGACAGATGGACAGACAGACAGGCAGACAGCGGGTCTTAGTAATAGGGTCCCATTTTACTCATTGAGTACGGAATACCAAAAATATTATCCCTACTGCAGGGTAAGGTTGTCCTGTTTTGCAAAGCCATTCTACAAACAAATAACATTGACAACTAACCAGATGAACTATATTTGCAAGTCCTAAAAATACATATGAAGGATTGGGACAGAACTCTAGACCCACGTTGCCAGAGCCTGTTCTTTAGCAAATGCCTTTCCCAATATTCACTGCGCTAACCGAATCATCGTCATCCAACTAAGTACGTAAGAAACATATTGAGAAATAATTAAGTATTGTTAAAAGTTCGCACCGTTTACCGCATTTCCTATGAAACGATTTATTCGTCCCAGTTAAACGTTCTGTCGGGATAAACAGATGAGCTTCGAGTGAAATTACGGCGGTACGGTGGCTGCATCTAATGCAATTTCCCCGCGAGCGTGGTCCCGATAATGTGTCGCGTCATTACAGCTCGCGTCTGTCTTTAGGACTGATATCTCGTCCCTTTCTTACTGTTCAGTAACAGCAGACTTTTTAAACAATAAGCTATGAATCACATGATTAATATTTAATAATTGCATTTACTGCTAGTCTCTGCACTCAGATTAAATGTAATTTTTTGGTTAATTAATAGCCCACAAATTCTCGACACTGCGGCATCCGACGATGCAGCCTCCAGGTATTTTATTCAGCAATTTACCGACAAAAAATTCACATTTGAAACTTCTGAATTGATTATTAAAAATACAGGTAATACGTTCGAAGTCATTGGGATAATGTGAATATTAATTTATTTGCTACAGTCAGAATGTTTACAAATTTATTGTATTTTACTAAATTAGAGCCACGCATCAACTTAACATTAGGTTAAAATAAGTCAGTTAAATCAGTTTAACCACGTGTTCACTGACTTCCTCTTATAAATAGATCCTATGACTGGAAATATGCCTTTAAAATCAACAATATATGCACATATTTCTGTCAACACAAAATCTCAAACGCTATTTTTTTGGACATACCACCGCTGTTCTTTCAAAACGACAAGAGCGGTGCATCTCAATATTATGCACACTATCTATCAAGGTACGGATCTGAGATTTTTTTTTGCCTTATATTACAGATGAAACAAAATTGTTCACCGCAACATATAGCCTCAACCACTGTTAAGGCCATATATTGAACCCAAATGGCGTCCAAAAAATAGATAGTTTCTAGAATTCCTTATTTCATACAAAGTTTCTCATTTGTTCCCGGTGCGTGACGACAATTCAGTCACTCACAATTTGTTTGATTAGAGTTACTTAGTCAACAACATAATGGAATCGACTATTTCTTTACTCGTGTATGTCAAGAACGAGGGAGTTTGTATGTATGTTTATATTTTGCCAATAAATTATTATCATCGAATGAATATTTACTTTGAAATTATTTATTATGATTTATTAATTATTTTTATTACAAATATAAAAGGAACGATAGAGAATATTCCGGAAGCTACCGACAACCGTTCACCCTCTCAAACAGATGAAAATGTTAGTTGAAGGGATCGCATTAGCCCGTGCATTTACCTGGCTGCACGGACGCACCGCCTGATATCCCATTTGTCTGACAACCTCGAGACGAGAGCAGCGCTAAATGATGAAGGAACTTTTCACTTTGCATCACGGCGGCTTTGTTTAACCGGCGGAGATGGCTGGATTAAAGTTGGGCCACTGTTTACATTTAACTTTAACGTACCGAAATAACGTTATTTGCGTTTTCTGATTTTTATATGGGCAAGCAGATATTGAAATACTTATTTTTAATTAATTAGTAATCACAAAGATCGCCGCGATAGCTCAGTGTCTGGTTACTCGCTTTTAATGCAATGTGAAATCAAGTATAAGGGCTGGCACGTATAAAATTTTTAGTTGCTGTTTTAAGTGCTTATTGTAATTTAAATATATGATATATTTAAATTACAATAAGCACTTAAATACAATTCGCGATGCGGTTATCATATCCTGACACACCCTTTAACAAGCAATTTGACTATGTACTTGTAGGCTGTCACTTTTTCTTACTTAACCTTATAATCATCTGTAGTATATATGTATTTGTAAACTACCTCTCTAAATATTATTAAATTTCAAATGTCAAATCAGGAAGATGAATTTCAAGCGTAAGAGACTCAGGAAAAGACTCGAAAGATTGAATCGAACATTTTTCAATTAGCTTTCCCCGTTAAAATAAGCGATTGCGGCCGAAAAGCCGCTGCTTGCCGGGCGCTTTCGCTCTCCGCGGGATTAGCTTCGCCATATTCGCTTCAACATTCCCATCCCGGCAATAAGCGGGCGCGGCGATTTTACATGCGGCTTATAGGCGAGCGGACGCTTCAACTCGACGGCGCGGCTTTCCAGGCTCATTGTCGGACGCGGCGGCGCGGCCGCCTTGGTGCGGTAACTTTTCGAAATGCCCCATCGCTCGGCCGGGCCTTTATTAAAAACCGCGGGGCATATTGCACAACCGACGGCAATAACTAAGGCGACCGCCTCGCTACGCGCCGCGCCGGATTCCAATATTCCGAGCGAGTTGGGAAGTTTTATTATTGCGGCGTGAATGTAATGAGTGCAGGTGAGCCGGTTCCGTCTGCCGGGATTTATGGTCGGACGTTATACGCGAAGCGGAAGCCGGCGGACCTCCGAATTGGCTTAAGTGGTGCCGAAGTTTAATTAGTTGCGTTTCGAATGTTCCCGACAGCGCACTACGGAAACGTAGTTAAGATTTTTAAAAATCATTGATGTTAGCCATTAAGCTATAGTTTTAAGTTATTTAATTAAGCCCATTGATTGGTTATACTCACACCTTTAAGAAGAGAATGTGGAGTACATTCCTTAAAGACCGTCAACGGAATCCACCAAAATACTGGAATACATAACAAAAAATTATTAAGTTCTGCATTCAGATATTTTAATACGTACTATTAGTACCATCCAATTTCAGCAGTCAAATGCATGTCAATGTTTTTTATCGGTAAGCTAAAAGCTTGATGTTTGCAATTCAAAAGGAAGTTCAATTTTGTTTAGACACATTTCGCGACCAATTTGTCTATGTCTATGTGGGAAAAAATTCCTGTAGTTATTACATTTCCAAACGTTATTCGTGTAAATACCAACTAATACAATTCAACACAGGATAAAAATTATTTTTCTCACATACATAATCGTTCTTTAAAGTGATCTTTTAAGTTGTATACTAAAACAAGACATCTATTTACAAAAAGAAAGACCATTTGTAATCAATAATAGTCTATTCAACGTCATATTGCAAGCTTAAGTAATTTTCGGAGGATTACAGCAAGCACTGTCTCCCTGCGCACGGAGCATCTCCGAGACGCGTAAAACATTATTTAAACCGAATCGCCGTCCTATAAATCAAAAAGCGCCAGAGGTACGCATATTTCATACTTAATTCTTTCGTGGTTCATAGCTTTCCGTGTGTTTTATGAGCCGTCAGTTACCTGGCTACGTTTAGGCGGTTTCATGCACCTGTATTTAGGGGAACTTTTCAGCTGATGTGCCTTTAATCGTATTTTTTTCCCCTGAAATGTTTGAAATGCGGGCAAGTCGAAATGCGTGTTGGAATGTACATCCTTCTCTATGTATATAAATCATATAACGTGATCGCATCCTCAAAGGCTATTATTATGCATGTGTTATAAAATATGGAATAATGTTTCCCTATATTCGCAGGAAGCCTGTCGTCAGTATAATAAAACCGAATAACTTTCAAAAACTTCTTACTAATAATTTCTTGAAAAGCTGAAAGCATGTTACTAAATGCGTTTAGAATTCAATTCAATGTCGTGAATTATCAATATTGACGTTATCCATAATGACACCAACTTTCATGTAGTTTTTACATTGTATGTAAAATATCAATTTGCACATAAATTTATAATTGGTTATTATAATAAATACGGTATTTAATATACTGTATCTTAGCAGCTGTTGTCATTAATGTCGTTATATCACTGAAGACATTTAAATTTATAACCGAAATGAAATTTTCCTTCACCATAATAATTTTCCCTTTTCACGCATCTCTTCAAAAGCATTTTCTGTATTCAATCGCGAAACAACGCTGGAAATTGATTAATATTCTTGAAGGTAAGCCATAAATCTGATGTTTGGGCGAATCTCAGCTGTACCCTCCCCTGGCAGCCATATATCGCAATATCGCAGCTCCGTCCGCAGAGACTACGCGCGTACTTTGACTCTCGGCTCCCGTTTAGTACGTATTGTAGTAATAGATGTGTTTCGCTAATATCATCGTACGTACAAACATACATCTAAATAAGATACTTGACAGCTAATTATGGACTGTGATATCAACTTTTCTACTGTGGTAGTAGCAGCGCTTACAAAGATGCACCACGGCCTCACAGAAGACCGGCATGAAGTGGAAGTATTAATCATTCGCGTTTCATCTGGTGAGTGAGATAGCCGGGACCCACTTTCTTAAAGGTTGACGCATCTGCAAGCCCGTCTTATAGATGTCCATGGATGGCGGATTGATGATTCACTAAACATTCGGAGAACCGCCTGCTCGCTTAAGAACTTTTCACATAAAAAATAGACCAGATGTCAGATAAAAAAATCAAGAGATTAAATATTAAACGCAGTTTTTGATATCACGAAGAATGTCTTAAAACTGTTGTTAGTGTTCAGCCCCCAATACTTCGTCAGCCGAAAGGAACGCACCGTCTCGCACAAATTGTGCAAATTTCGCATAGGTAGGTACCGTCCCATGTAAATGATGGGCCAACACAATGGGCTCCAAATAAGTTTTGCAGGCTCTTTGATTTCCAAATTCACACCCTGTTTTACGCTCACTAATTTTCTTGTTCGGACACAATTTCGTCGGCGGTGGACCCCTCACGATAATAATTTCGCAGGGAAACTATTATAGTCGATCCTCGCCAGCCAGTAATTAATTTCGCCGTAAACTGGCTCAATTGAAGCGTGAAGATTTCGTGTAGGCTGACTCGGCCCTGCGAACTTTCGCGAATGATAATTAATTTCCAATTAGATTTAAAATAAATATTTTTATTGGAAGCCGTCCGAAGTTCGCAATTAAAACACCGATAGAAAAACAGCTGTCGGAGCTATTGTTGTGATTTCAATATTAGACTGTGGAGCTCTTATTGGGAAACAATAATAAATTCAATCGCGTAATGAAATATTTTAAACGAGCGTGCCTTTATTCGGTCTCACATGCAATAAGATACATCACAATACTGCGCGAAGTTTTGAGAACAAAGCCGCAACTTACTCTGCTTATATTATACAAGTACACCTATTCCAGCATTGTCGAATTCACTTAGCTTAGCGACATACAGTTATTCAAGATAATTATCTCTTATATATTATCATATATATTTTTGTTCTCTTTATTTTTATGCATTGAAGGTTATGTTTGTCTAATAATAATTGAGAGTAATAATAAAAACCTACATTATTTATTATAGCCTGATTTACTTTAAATATATATTTAAGTACATTATATAAGTGATTTCCCAGGAGGCAAAACTATGTCGTAAAATTCTTAATACAGCAGAACTGGACAACATTTTTATAGTTTTCATATAACCGGCAAAATTGTTTATGTTAATAATTATTAAACGAAAACGGCATCCAAAAATAAAGTAACAAAGATATTTTAATAATTAAATATAACATGTAGTACATATTTATTTAACATATTTACGAAATTTTTTATTAGTTTAAAATATTATATAATAAGTATATAGCGGGTAATTTGTCTATGCTATTGGCCCATTAACTAAAGAATTATAAAAAAGTTTGTTAGGTTAATCATCGTTGAATTGGATGGCTTTGGCAAGCTACATTATTCAGTGCCGGGCAGCTCGTGACTTGTCTAGCCGGTCGACGTCTAGCGCATTCTCACCTGGGGCCCGGACTTACTAAGACTTCGCAACTTTGACGTCGGTTTCAATGCGGGCTTCAAACACTGAGGTAAGACCTCCACAATCGATAGCTTTGAAATAGTCTGACGGATGGTGTCCACAAATAAGCTCCAAGACAACTTATGATTTTTACAAATGATACATAATATGTTTATATCTTAAAGTCTATAAAGAAGATTTTTCAAGGCCTCTTTCAACTATTCAGAGTACACATTCAATATTGTTCAATTTCCTTCCTTCAGATACTTATCTTAGACTGCTTACTTCATGAAAAATGAAAAGAAAAAGCCACGTTTTTATTCAAAGTTTTACAATAATTTTCCCTAAATAATCATTAATAATTGAATTCAAATATTATCGCATTTCGGCAACGGATGTAGTAGTAATATTACACATCTGAGACTCTGCTTAATGTGTTTAAGGATTTTGCACCAGTATTTGTAGCACTATGACATTTCCAGTAGCTTATATATTAATAAATATATTATATTAGAGCACATACCGCAAAATTAACTTTTATTTCAAACCTGAGCAATATTGCAATAATTGTTGCGACACAAAACTAACAGACAGTTCAAACGGAGATCGCATCGCAGCGGCAACGTCGCGAGTTTTTATTTCTCGTAATTAACTGCCGAGCCACGCCGGCACGTAACAGCCACGCTTAACCATAAATACAGCAAGGAATCGGGACCATCCCCATAAATTCCTCTCGTAAAAGGCTCCGCGATTATGTTAGAGGGTGGTATTAGCAAAGTTTGTCCGATAGAGGGGGGCCGCACCCCCTCTAATACATTTTTCGTTGATGTAACACGATTTCTCGACGGCTCTCGCTTACGTGATGGATTAAGAAGAGGCTCAGTCTCACCGCCGTTGGATTAAGCCGGGGACTCCGATATTTAGGGCATCGCCGACTAATATACAATGTTTGCCTGTCAATAGACTTAACTGAATAATACTTGGGCACCGTCGGACAGCCGTGTACCTCCGTATGTGAGGGTTCACTAATCGTCTTGTCCATACGAGCATAAAATCCTTAACTTAACCGTCGCCAGATAAAAACCCATAGTCACTAATTCCCCCTGAAACTTTGTTGAGAATTAAAATATTTAACTAAGATGATAAAATTTGTTTTAGCATTTAAAGGTGCAAGAAACATGCAATATAGTTGATGAATCCTGTAGCCTGTTCTTGAATTGCTTTAAATAAATTTATATTACTTGAGAGTGAAGTTTTATTACGGGTGTACAAATACTAAATAAAATTTAAATCACAGGGTGTTCATCAATCCCCACAACTAAACATAAATACAGATTGGTTGATACTTCAAATCTTTTGAAGGATTTTGGAAAAAAAGATTTTCTCACAAAAAACTTCTGCTCCTTTTGCCGAATTTTTCCTAAGCAAGATCCAACAATAATCATAAATACATTACGCGCGATTGGAGACAGGAGCTGGTTCGTAAACAACGCACCTCACTCCTCTCCCATTTCGCCTTTATTGCCTATCTAACTTTGACGGATTTTAATAATATACCGACTCCGCTACACCGCGCCACTACACACTAGCTCGGTATAACGAAAGTGGCTTAGTTTATTGTTAATAACTCTTTCAAAATGTTTATATATCGCTACACTTAAGATATAACTAACTTACAACGGCATATTATAGTTTCACTTAGGAGTCGGTCTAACAAAGTGGCTAAGTACGATTTCCATTTAAAAAACCAAAAATTAAAAACTACCGTCTCATAAAGACGGTAGTTTTTAATGCTTTTGTGTTAAATGTTTATTACAATCTATCGCCATATTTATTACTAACAATTATTGCTTAGTTATCGTCATTCGAACTTGTAGCTGTGAGGTTTACGTCCGTTAAGCAAAAGGACGGAATCGGTAAATACCTTCGCTTATAAAAACAGTTTTTTTTTAAGTTTTATATTCAGTTTTTAATCTTTGCAATTAAGATGAAACATTAAAATTTGTAGAAAAATTAATGAAACATTGAGCCGCTGTAAATGAAATGAATGAGGAGTAGAACCCGCGTCCTTCGGAATCGTGCCGAGCTCTAACCGCTAAGCTAAACGGACGAATGCCACACCAACGAAAGACTCGGCGTATTTTAACTTAATTCTTATCTTCTGTTATGTCCTTTACAGATCATCAGAGACTATTTCTAAGAACGTTTTACAGCGATAATTCGAACAAGAGATGTCGCCTTTGATATTGAAATTTAAATTTTATATAAATTTTTCAAGTGCTAATCTCAGAAACATTAAAATTTGTATAAAAATTTATGAACAGTTTTTCGCTGCTTCGGGAATCGGACCAGCGTCATTCGTGTCAATAAAACTAAGTAGATAAGTTTAGCTTAGCGATTAAAGCGTTTTCTTAGCGTTATCTTTTCACAAGTATTTTGACACGAAATTATTAAGATTTTAATGACAGAGGGGAATTGAGACAAACCTAAGTTTTTAATCAATTCACAGTCAGTAACGATTGCATGACAACTTTGAAATTAGTCAACTATTCCTTCGTGCTTTATAAAAATTAATAGGTGTATTAATTAAATAAATTATCACCTTCGTTACCTTACCACTCTTGATTGTTTAAAGTATCCATTAAACAATTTTCCGGAAAGAAATTCACTATCGCAATATTCCGCACATTTGGCTTATAGGAGCTAGACCGTGAAAGATACGACACCTTTAGTATTGTGTGTGAATTTGTGTGTTTACAATCCTGTTACGATAGATATAATACTGTAATTGAATGCACTAATTAAATAATTTTATATAAATTAATAATAAGACATTTGTTAACTTATATCGCTATTTAGTTCTAAACGTTGAAAACATATTTCATAGGCTTGTTCTTTAATACCAGATAACCTATAACACCACTCGACTTTTTCATTATCGATTTCATAAATAATAATTTATAAGATTGTTGAGTTACGTCATAAGAACACTTTTCCACTCAATAAAAAAAATTATATTATCTAAAATGTATTTTCTCTAGTTTTTAAAATGCAAACATGTCTAACGATAATCTTTGAATAAAAGATTTATGATGACTTTTATACATAATTATATTCCCATAAACGTTTCTGAGAACTATACTCGGATTACCCTCTTCGTACTCGGTGGCCAAGTCGCAGCCCTTCTAGATTAATGTTTGTTTATTACCCACACATTTAGCTGCGAACGGAGTTAATTGAAGCAAATTTTACAAATTTTCCTTACACCGGCGGACGTCTAGAGACGAGTGGCAGCCCCCTAAACGTATAAATACTGAATAAGCAGTAAACTGTATTACTTCGGCGAACCCTTTTCACTTGGCGAATTAGTAAAAAGCTATTGGGGAGTGAAAATTTTAACTTAAATGCGCCCGTAAGCTCTCCTACCTGCGCGTGTGTTTGACAGTCCGAAGTGATTACATGGCATAACCGTTGCCTTCCTCCTGTTTGTTCCGATTCGGCTTAATTTGATCCGTGACGTTTTTGGCCGGCGCGTTCTGGTGTGAAATAATGGGAAGTCGTTTAAATAACAACTGGTTTAACACGTATATAGTGTTTAGAGTAAAATATCAACTGCGTTCTCTGAGTTTGTTAAACTCTTATGCATAATGGCATTAAGAAATGTGACTCTTTAAAAGTGTCTTGAAAATAAACGAGATTATAGTTTTATGTTTCATATTTAGTTATTTTTATTGTGTTTCATACTTCAATCGGTAAAAACGCAAATGTATAAAATCAGTTGTTTGTCCGTCTTTCTGTTTGAATATTCTAAGAACTTTTTGAAATTTATATCAAATTCGTTTATATACTTAAATCTATGATTTCTTTGTGGTGTAATGGAATCAAGAGACAACCGCCTTATTATAACCAATTCGATACTTTTATTTTACTTTCGAGGAATTTCGCCAAGAACAAGGTTTCACTGTACACAATAATTAAGTTGTTAATCATCATATGACATAATTAGATTTATACGTGATCGGCATTGGATTTACTCAGAATGACATTTTAAATCAGTGCATAAATAAAACGAACCCCATATCAACTCTTTATCGCATTCAATAAAGCAGTTGTTCGACCAAAAAAACAAACGACAACCGTTAGCCCCGCCCCAGCGTTTATCAGCGCAACGGCGTTACCCGGGCCGCACGCCAGACAGAATTATCACGCATAATTAAAAATGCCAACACACTGCAGACGTGCCCGGGGCTTGTCTAATTAGCAAAAAGTTAATAAACAGACACACGGGCCCGACAGTGACATGCTCCCGTGAAAATGCCAAGATGAAACACGTTTAATTTGCATACTCGTTACGCTCTCGAGTTACGTGGGCACATGTGAACCCCCACATGGGCATCCTGGAACACAACTAGCGCACTCCCTCAGGATGTCTGCATATTTAGAGGTTAGGATACGCATTATAATATCTCAGGAGCACTGAATATAAATTAAACTTTAGTGCACTGATAGTTAATAGTATGCTTACGAATAACTAGTTTTAGAATGAGTCTAATATGAAGTAAAGTATAGAAACAGGACAGCTGGTCAAAGGCCTCCTCTGTATGGAGGATATTAGGCCGTAGTCCACGCTAACCCACTGCGGATTGGCAGACTTCACATATCTTTGAAATATTTATGTTTGGTATTATTTCGAAAATACGCAGGTTTCCTCAACATTTTTCCTTCTCCACTGAGCACATAAGTGAATGCATTAAATGTGCAATTGACTATTTAATTGATGCTGGCCTCGGAATTGAACTCAGGTTACTCGAGTATATTGAATTGAAAGCGAGCGCCCGGCCACTGAGCCTTCTCCGGCACTGAGATTAAATTATACTTCAAAATAAACTTTTTCTTTACACATTCGTTACATTAACTCCATAATTCTATTTTATATCTAGTTTAATACCGCGATATCTATATACCGCGATAATCTGCTTAATATCTTATTAGTTTTTGAAATGCGACTATACCTTTTCATGGATCCCCGTGGATCTGCTCCGGGGAAAAGATTAATTTTCACTGTTCATTACATTACTTAACATCATCACCAGGCTTGGCCGGTAACCGGTCATTAAGGTGACCTCAGAACAGCGGCGTCCGCCAATCGATCTGTCAAATTAGTCGCCACCAACCGATCGAGTGCTCTCCCAGGTGTCGAAGACGGGCCTTCCTAACAAAGCCAATCAAGGGCACGCAACGCAGCCCTCACGGATAATCTATCATAATGACATCGATTTCCCATCTGTACGTGACTGAGGTTATGTGAGATCGCTTGCCGCCTTGTCCGGCATTTCTTAAGCCTTAATAACTGCTGACGTGTGTCAAGAAGGCCAAATATAGGATTTGGCCTTCTTGACCAAATATAGGATTTGGCCAAATATAGGATTGAAGGCCAAATATAGGATTTGGCCTTCTTGACTAGCGTTGAGCTAAGTCTCTAGTCTAACACTATATAAATTTTCGTATTGAAGTTCTGTCCACGATCAGCTTTGTCAAGAAAAAAAATTAAAGCAAAGTAAATAAAGAAAAAAATAAGACGTGAAACAAATTTCAATTAAGTGTTTCACCAATATGATAATGGGTAATTAATATAAAAGGCTTTCTTGAAAGTTATATCAAGTAATCGGCGTCAAAATCAAGTGATGGTTACAAATATGTTAATAATGATAAAAGTGTCACCAGATTAATTTAAATGGTAGCATGAAACTGTCAAAAATTTTCTCCGATCAGTTATTAACTGAAACAATTCATTTCGCATGTACGATTGTAGTTCACATGAGATTTCACCGCGTTTTGTAGTGCCGTTGTTGAAATAATCAGATTTTATCCATTAGACCTCATTCCCACGTCCGTCATATTTGACGACATGGCGGCAAGGCGGCAAGCGGAGGCACGCCTCGCTACGTGTCTAATAAGACACTCTGCGGCCGCTCATTGCCGAACGCGCAACAATTAACGCCGCGTCTAGCGCAAATGTGAAGGGTGCTTTATAGTTTCAACATGGCGTGAAAGCAAAGAACTTCGACACAAGCATAATAAAGAACTACAACGTCTTCGACTCTACGGCCCCATTAGAGATGTCCCATGTCATAAACGTTTTCCCAAACATAGGTGCGAAGTCGATGAGCTTTAAATAGTCTTCGAACCGAAAGCGCTACTTCAGCCAATACAAACAAAAATATGTGAAAATGTCTGTGATGAGTCTTTTTTTTTTTCTTGTATTTATTAATTGACTCTGTTCGCAGGCGTGTGAAACAATAAACATTAGTTTTATCGTAACCTGGTGAATGATAATTATATGAATGTAATACGAGGGATGAAAGGTTCTAGAGTGGCAGCCTCGTACTGGCCAACGCAGTGTGGGACGACCCCCCAACTAGATGGACCGACGACCTGTGCAAGTATGCGGGAAGTCAATGGATGCAGGTGGCTCGGGATCGTACAAATGGCAAAGTGCCGTTCGTTGTGGCGTTTTAAGGGGGAGGCCTTAGTGCAAAATGGACATCTTAACACTTCTTCTTCACGCGATTTTTCTGTGAGAACTTCCCCGGACGAGCCGTAATTGCAAGTTTTCTCACCCTTAAGTCATATCCAGATGTTTTGATAATATTTTTTTTATTTAACACAAAATATAAACTACTAGACATTTTACCCAGCTTAATACCAAAACCTGTCAGAAACGTTTTGCCATTAAGCTCGGAGATTGAGTTGGTCGCCGTGCAGAAAGAAAATATGACAGTGATTGCGGCACATTGAATATTTTTATGTAAAAAGTTATCAAGCGAGCAGGCGGTGCACCTGATGTTAAATTAATACCGTCGCCCATGTTTATCTACAACACCCGATAGCTTGCTGATGCGTTGACCAACTTTAAAAATGTGGGCCCCAATTGCCTCTCTGATAAGAGGAAACTTCACTCCCTTGAACACTTCTACTTCACGCCGATCTTCTGTGAGGCCGTGGTACTTCCTACACGAATGGGCAGGCTCGTCCGGGTAGGTAACATGACCTCTCAGAAGACCGGCGTAAAGTGGAAGTATAATACTTTCGCGTTTCGTCTGGAGAGTGAGGTGGCCGGAGCCCGATTTTCAAAAGGTTGTCAATGCACCTGGAACCGTAGGGTGTAGCAGATGTCCATGGGCGGTGGCATTCACTTAACATCAGGTGAACCGTCTGCTCGCTTGGCAACTTTTGAAAAAAAAAAAATTACCCCTACCTTTTATTAGCATCGATTTGCCAACGCTAAAGTTCCGCGAAGTAATTTTATGTACTGATCCTGTGTACATAACGGTATCGAGAGCGCCGTGGCGCAATGCGGGCCGGTACTGCCTCACCCCTTGCTGACACAATATCACCGTTACACAAATCTATTTCTGCAACTAAGACGTCAGAGCGAAGCCTCAGTTCGGCAGTTAATTTGTTCCTTTAAATTTTGAGGTACGAAAATACCCTTCAATGCTTGCCTAATCAACAATTTCCTTTTTTATTTTCAGTTGCAATACTTGTACAAATCTTATAATGGAATTTTAATCGCGATTGTAGATATCTTCTCTATCGTCGTGCCATTGTATGACATGGGTGCCAAACAATAGTTTTCATAGATATATCAATCACTGTTTAGTTAATGAGGAGAGATTTAAAAATAAATAAAATAACGAATAATGTTTTAAAAACGTTTCCCTTCTGAACTGTAAAACTATTATTAATAAATAAGCTATAACAAGGGCTGTGCGAATTTCGTTTAGACGCGTTATGCTTTATATATATTAACATATATTTAGATGTGGGATTACATGAGGGCGAGATTCGTCACTCTTTCCCTGCTTTAATGAAGCGACCGCTTTGTCGACGACGTCGAGTGCCATAATGGTTTCCTCTCGAGGCCTTTGTCGAACCAACTTTGCGATTCCACCACTAAGAATAACTAGAAGGGACGGTCTTATGTAATGCTCCACGTTATAACACGCTATCTGTCATTGGCAGTTTCTTTAATAATTTCTCAGGCAATTTATAAAAAATTGTCAATTTTTTTGATAAAAGTTAATATAAGTAATGTAAGTGTAACCCGTTTCAATATCGAAATAAAGTACAATACATTGTAACCTATACTTCTTCGAGCCCCAATTCCTATTCAAAGTTTCCAATAAAAAAAAAGGAAAATTCAAATTTTACCAATAAATTCATGAAATTGAAGGGTTTTTCGATGTAACCGAGATTTATTATTAACGTTGTTTTAAAAATCTTACTCAATTATATAATATGACGCAGAAATATTTAGCTAACAAATCGAATAAAAAAAATAATGTATCTCGTTACATTTATACAAAAATAGACGATTCTATTTAAAGCAATTCCATCGTCTCAATCTCAAGTCGGTATATTTATCTCCGCTGCAAAAGTAAACACGGAACTCGCCTATAGTTTCTTGGAGACTTCTTCAGCTTTCATTTAGCCGCATGCAGATACGTTCCTGATTAAACACGCCTCTCTCTATTTATATAAGCCGTAATTAAAGATGCGTCGGCGGTTACGCTCGTCAAAAGAAGCGCTGTGTTTATTAATTTGACTGTAAATATTTGCCTCCGATAAATCGTGCCTACTTCCCGAGTCAAAACTTTTGGTTTGCTATTAAAATAGCATAAATGCTCGTATGCTAAATTTTGTGTGTTTGTAAATTGTTAAATTTTGTTCAACTAATAATATATGTATTTATGTCTGTACATTGTTTAATGTAAAGTAATAAATTTTCATTCTCGTTACTAAAAGTCGCCATAATTTTTTTTATATATATTTTAATGTTAGTCTGCACTTACCTAAGGTGAAATTTAAAGTGTTTAATTGTCAAATAATTTTTACCGATGCCATGATGCAAACTTTCGTAAATATAATATCAATATGAGAAAAAAAAATTGAAACGATGGCTTGATTTTTTTTTTTTTTTCAATTAAAGTACATTTACTTACGCCATGAACCTTCGCTAAGTCGGTAGAGACGGCTAGTTTAAATAAAAAAGACCTAAATAAATCTGATGGAAAGACCTCCTCCTTACATAGGGTATAGTAAAAATTAGGTAACAATTTCAAGAAACACGAATGTAAGACGTTGGTAATTGAATAACATAAAAAGGAATTTTGATTAAAATCTACGAAGTACATCTAGTATTGTATGTATGTAAATAAAGATTTGATAAGATTTTATCTATTTTAATAAACATGTTCGAAAAGAGTTTGCCAAAAAAAGAACGAGCGTTGTATTTAATAACCGCGGTAACCGGTTCCGCTACTTACATAAACTTTCGGCCGAAACTTCTCGAATGTAATTACGGCGGCGTCACCTGTGAACGAGGCGTCTGTATGCAAATCGGCCGCGAATCGAGAATTTTCTAAGCATTATTATGGCAGCGCCCGCGAACGGGAGCCGATTGCTAGATAGCGTTACATCCGACGAGTGCGCCCTCCCAATTTCCTCGCCCGTGCACTCCGTCCGAACAGCGTTTAGGGTGAAAATATTGCGTATAACTAATTCGTACGCTCTTACGCGGCGGGCGTCGGATGCGAAAATGAAGCTTTGCGTTCACAATATATTTTAATAACGCACTCTCCGGAGACCCGATCCTCTGATACGCGTGGCGAAGTTGGAAAAACGTGTTTTTGCTTTCGCCAAGCACCCGCGAAAAGAAAGAGTATAATTTTTTCAGCGGTACATATGCGTGTTATAGGTAGTACCATCATAATTAGGTTTAATGATAATCATTACATGACAATAATCAACGTTATAATTAAATGAGATTTACACACATCTCTTAAAATTATACTTCTTTTGGTGGAATGTGGTGGTTTGGAAAAAATTATCAAAGGAAAACTTTTCGGTGCGACATGATGAAGTTGGTTGCAAAGTGTCTTAATGTTATTACCATGGCAACCGATAACAACTTTTTATCATTTACCTATAATTCTAAGTTAGTTAATTTAACCGTCATTCAATTCATTATATCTTTTTACATACGTCTCATCCTGCATCAATTTCAATTAATGTATTTTTACAAAGAAAGAGTACTGGTACAGGGGATAAAATTTTTAGTTATTTTTCTCATGTACACTAAAGAAGTGTAGCTTCTTAAGTGCGTACATAAATACACGTTTTTTTCTTTAAATATTATTACTCTCCGAATGGCCAAATCCTTTCAAGAGCCAAAAGTCCTTAATATCCAAAATCAATCCAAATGCATGTTATAAGTCTGTCAGACATGTTATACTGCAAAGTGAAATTCTGGTCAAAATACTGAGAGTATTTACTATTGGTTATATTCAACCTTGACATTGCCAAGAACGTCAAGTTGTCCTTGATGGAGCCATTATTGGAAGTGAAGTACATTCAGTTTATCTAAGGTGCGTAATAGTTAGAGACCTTCAACGCGAGGTACTACCCTTCTGGGATATTATGGTCATACTAGGCGATGTAACAGGTACGACAGTAACGGTCTTTGAGCCGCATGAGAGTTTACCACCTTCACTACATAGTATAAAACAAAGTCGTCCCGCTGTCTGCCTGTCCCTATATATGCTTAGATCTTTAAAACTACGCAACGGATTTTGATGCGACTTTCTTTAATAGAGAGAGTGATTCAAAAGGAAGGTTTATTTGTATAATTCATGCATAATATGGCAGAGAAACACTGATAATTTTAGAGGTTTTTAATGCGATATCGAAAACAAACATTCAGCATTGCACCCGTGCGAAAACGGGGCGGGTCGCTAGTTGTATATAAAAAGCTTTTCTTACTTTTGGTACGTATTTCTGCAGCGGAAACATGTGGCGGTCGCGCGCTCCGATACCGGCAAGCAGGTCGCGGGCGACACGCCCGCAGATTGGATCGAGTTAATTTCGCTCCACAAACAAATTGACAAAGTTTAGAGCGGGGCATATTTCTTCGCGGGCACCCGCACCCACCCGCGGCCCCCGCGTCCCCCCCTCCGCCGCTCCCCGTGACAGATTCCCGCATAGCGGAAATTAAATTTCACATCCGAACAAGAGCGGGAACACTCGCCGCGACAAGCACGTGTCTCGCGACTAGCTGCGGTGACGTACCGAAGAGTCCCCCGCGGTACATCACTACGGCTGTCGCAATTAAATCTATCCGTTGAAAATGTAACTTGTGATAAATCCAATACTTAACCAAACAAAAAAGACTTAGTTTAAGTCAATTCCATATTGCTTTTTGGTAAGTCGTTAAGATAATTGAGCCGTGATAGCACATTGTCCGGGCGCTCGCTTTCTATTCAATATACCCAATGGCAAGCAACCTCAGTTCAATTCCGCACCAATGAAATTGATGATTTTAAGTGATGAATTATCACGTTTTCAGCGGTGAAGGAAAACATCTTGAGGAAACCTGCATATTTTCGAAAAAAGATTCGAAAATATGGTAAATCTTCGAATAGTGGTGGACTATTAGCGCTAGCAACCATCTTTACAGAGGAAGCTTTTGTCGAGTACTGAGACATGTAAAAGCTGTTACTTTACTTTTTTGATAAGCGATGTTTTCCAAACAAAATCGACGTATTGTCACTTCTAATAAGGTAAAGAAAACGATGGACATGCCACGGGAACCGTTTAAGAAAACACACGAGGCAATCCGAGCCGTCACTATCGGGGTCGCAATTAAAATCCCATTCACGGCGGCCCGAGACGGACCTGGGGTCACCTCGAGGAGGACGCACGAATTAGCCATTAGCGGGCGCTTCGGACCTTGTTTACACCGCGCTTGCCCTAATGACGACCTTTGCACCGCTTCCCTTCGTTAAGGCGGGCGAAAACCTCGCACTAAAAGGCGGCGGTCCCAGCACGGAGGCGAGACAAAGCGACGCGCGCCGCCTCGGTGGGAAAAGGACAATGGCCGATGGCTTCCGGATTAATGCCCATGTGCGCGGCCGTTAAAAGGCTAGCCCAACTCGCCCCGTGCGCCAGGGTTAACAAGGTTATTACGGGATGATCCCGGCCGACCGCCGCCGTAAAAGTGTTAATTGTGTTTTAGAAAATGGAGATTATTCCGCTCGACGTATTGACAGCTTCCCGAGAACGGCGAGAAGAGCGATGTCTGCTGAAGAAATGACAAACCGGTGCACCAATGACGATGATGCTTTCAGTAGACCACAATATAACCACGGGTTTTATTTATTTAACAGTAAAATAACTGGCAAGTGTCGAGACTGTTATTTTCGATGTTTACTTGTATTACTTATTCCTCCAGCCACCTGGTATCTTGACCCTCAACAGATGTTTATTTGTCCAGAGTTTTTGTATCTTTATATTTTTATTTTCGTTCAATTGGAAAGCCTTATTCCGCATCTGATAGTCCTGCTTGGCAAATAAAAGGCATGTCGAATTGCGGTTTCGTCTTTATTCTATGGTAAATGTTTGTATTTTCACGCATCCATGGTAAAATTAAGCTAAATAAGCTGTGCCATGTTCAACTTCACCTTCAAAAATTTTATTCATAGTGATGCACTACAGTTAAACAAAGACGGAATTCAAGAATTCTCTTCATGCTTTTTTCGATTTTAAATGACCCAGCTTCTCCATCCTATCTTAAAGATAAATTTAAATACCTCTATCAAAACAACGAAAGAAACCTCCGTTCTTCATCTAACCTCAAGATTTCTATTCCTCCACATAATTCTAGTTTCTTCGGTGGCTCTTTCACCGTTCAGGCTGCATTACTTTGGAACTCCTTGCCTGAAGACATACGTAGTGCCCCTTGCAAGGCCTCATTCAAACGCAAAGTCCGCGAATTTTACTTAACATCTGAATGTTAAATTTCATCATTATTTCAATATCGTTTATATGTTTATATTTATGTATATATATGTATGTTAATATCTTTATATATAATATGTATGTATATTTTTTTATTATATATTTAAGTATTTATGTATTTAAGTATTATGTATATGTATTTAAGTATTTATATTTATTTAAGCGTGTGTATATTCCATACACTGTATATTTCGTTCACATTAGTAATTTACTTGTTTTTTTTTTATTGCACCTACCACAAATTATCTTCACTCCCCGGGTTGACAAGGAGAGAATGCCTAAAGGCATTAAGTTCGCCCTTTGTAATCCTTGATTAAAGTAATTGCAATAAAGTATAAATATATAAATAAATAAAATGCACTGTAACGATTCCCTCAAATAAACAGATAGATAAGCCGAGAAATCGACGTTGCTGCAAACCCGAATCTATCGATGCAAACTCTAGCTACTATTTATATACTTTGCAAGAGCTAACTCCGTAGAGGTATGTTTTGTTTACAATAATTCTTGTTGTTTCTTATTGAAAAACGCCTTAAAGTAAGTGAGTAATAAACAAAAGCGTTACAAAAAACTTCGGCGCTCTGTCGAATTCTAATGGAGTCTATTGACATAAATGTTTTATTCAATCGGAGTCCAGGCCAGTACAAAAACCATGTCGTTGTCGTTATGAGAAGAAAAGTTTTTGCATTTCTACCCGTAATAGCTCCTGTGAGGAAAAATAACGTGAAATAACTTGATGGTATTTGTTTTAATTTGGTAGCTTTTTTACCTTTCATCGCTTTTTGTTTCTAACCGGAACTAAAATATTGTGCGGGGAACTCACATAAAAATAAGTTAAAAGAAATTTGAACAAACAATGTCGAACCCCTGTAGAACAATATACTATGCCAAAAATAAACGAAATTTGAATTAGACGCAATACGAAAATTATTTGAATAGTTCGTAACAGCTTTGCGAAACGACGTCCTAAGTTGATTTAACGTCCGCCGCGCCTCGTGTGCAAATTCACTATAAATCCGAGAATTAGTCCGAAGCTTTCATTACTTAAGTCTCGTAAAACCCTTATCCCATAACGTTAATAACACAATTACAATAAATCTATCATCGCCGAGCAAACACGGTCCGAATCTCGGCCTAAGCTAATACATTTCGTCCACGCCCGTATTCATACTTAACGACCGGGGAGTAGTATTTGCTAAACACACACGCGGCGCCCGCACGGGCAATATAACCTGGAAGACGGCTGGGTCAGGCCCCGGGGTCCTTCCCTACCCGAGAGGACAGTAATTACGGTAGGCAAATTAAGCAGTAAGGGGCCGAGCCGACCCCGCCGTGTCCATCTTTGTGCCGCCACGTTCGGCGGTTTGTTTTAGGTTATTCCACGTCTTATTACAATGTAGCTCGCCTCCCCTGCGGCGCGCTCACCTCCGAAACTGATTCGGGCGCCGGCATCGCAGTTTCATTACGGTCTGTCGAAAACAATCCACTCTAAATATCTATTCTTGGGCGCGCACTCCGGAATTACATTAGTCTGAGGTGGCGAAGGCTCGACTCAATTTGTTTGGCCGTAATAACGCTACGCTATCAGGTTGGTTATAACAAATGAGCTATTGTGAGGGCAAATCCGTGCAAAACGTTTTCGCAGTGTCTGCTCCATTATACAGTTTGTGTAACTGTTGGTACTGCGGTGCTTTATGTGTTGAAATATGAATTGTTGCTTGCATTCGTTAATTCCGGAGTTCGGATAGTGGTAGTTAGGATAAACCATTGTTTGTGACTTTCAAAAGAGATATACGGGTGATTTCGTGTAGATACTCGTAGATATGGACATAGTATAACTATGTAATAAACTTTATCAACCGACTTCAAAAAAGGAGGAGTTCTCAATTCGACTGTATTTTTTATGTTTATTACCTCAGAACTTAAGTGACGACTGGATGAACGGATTTTGATGATTCTTTTGTTGTCCCGTACTAATTTCATTGGTATTGGATCTTGGGCTCCGGATATACTTAGGGAACTCTTGAAAATCAATTATAAAATGAAGATAGAGCGAGATATTTGAAGTCGGTTTTGTTTTCGTTAGTAAAAAAAATGGACTTCTTTTAACAAGCAACTCGTGAGTTTAACATATTGCACAGTCGTCTAGTCGAATGCTCCATAAATGTATATATACATAACCTCTACTTTGGTTTAAGAAATCAAAGCCTACGCCTGTATAAAATTAAGCACTATAAATTAACAACAAAAGAATATTTAATATTACATGAGAACAAAAGTTAGGCTCTTTAAAAAGGAATAAAAGTCGAACTTTTCGCAAACACAAGACAAAGCTGCAATTCACTAAAGTTCCGACCACACCTCGGATCGCATGTGAGCTTTACTCTGCCCCTGCAGACTTTTAAAGGGCAACATCCAACACAAATGGCCACGCGAACCCGTCGGGATCTCCGAGCAAATATAATTTATCCATTAAAAAGAATTCAACAAGCGATGACCACACTCGTAGCTCGGAGATGGTCACAAAGCGTCTCGTTAGCGGCCGTACGTGCTGCTTGTCACACACTTCAGTCCATCGGCCCTTCGTAAATAATGAGAGGACGGACGCTCCAATGTAATATGTATATAACTTCATGGATGTGGCATTGCAGAATTTATAACGGTTAAGGACTTGACTTATTTAGAACATTATCAAGAAATACTATGCACACGATAAACGCCTTCTTATTAAGTTGTTTTACAACAGAGATGTTGAAGAGATTCGTTTGCTTATTATTAAATAAATAAATTTATGATTAACACATAAAATAAACAAAAAACGAAACAGTTCTGTTTCGAGACCACAAGGGACATCTCATTTTGTCACATTTTCCTTTTAATGGTAGCAAAAGAAAATATTTTAACGGCACTTTAAAACTGAGAGTTCAATAAATTGCCTCATCCAACGTTTCCCCAATTTATTTCCATGCCCTCTAAGCCCCCGGGAACCAAAACCTACGTGGGGCACCGTCGACATGTCGTCGGCCGGCTCTCAAGGCTGAATGCCTCTTAGATTGCCTCCGACCTCCTAAATATAGCCAGTCCGCCAAACAAGGGCCCGCATTGGGCGCGTGAAATGGGATTTCCTAAGGCACGACGCACATAGACGTACTGCGGCGTTCGCGTGTGCCGGCTAGAGGGGATCTTAATAGACTTGAGATTATTACATTCGACGTGGAATTATAGAAACGGACGCAAATTCACAATGGCGGACTAATTGCGGCCCCGATGCTGCCCAATCACTTTGATTCGGTTACGCTTTGCTATACGTACATTCAGTTGCGTTAATCGATATTCTTCATGGCTTTTGGATTTTTTATGGTTCTTACTGGCTTGAAATAAAAAGATCAATATTTTATAACTGTTATAAAATTATATGTTTTGTTTCATGCGCTTTTACATTCTTAATGTCACTTTTAAGTAATTAATAACATTTTCTTAGTGTTCTGGAATAACTTCATAATTAATTTGTATGTCTAATAAACATTACATTTCTGTTCTAACAACAGGCCTCATTTAATTTTTACAGAAGAAAACGAGATGAAAGTCCGTAATAATATTTTTAGCCAACAACAATATATGAGTACACTACGAAAGGAAAATATCAAAACTTAAAGAGTTAATGAATTCGCAACGACAAATAATAAATTTAATTGTATCGGAATACGAAGTGACTCTCCAGACAGTATCAAGCGGTTGAATTGAATTAGCTCAAAAATCGAAGAGCCCACCGAGGCAGTAGCTATTTGCATGAATTAGCCGACATTTATGCCTCCGTCGAGACAAACCGCAGCGTCGCGGCGCCACCTGGCGGCGAGAGAATTATGCTCCCTTTACCCGCTCCAACGCCTCAAGCCCAACACTGTCTTTAACTTACGTTTTATTGAAGTTTTCCAGCACCTTAATCAACCGATTAAAATTAACCAAATTACTGTAGGTGTAGACCATGAAATTACTAATTCATGTCAGGATTATATGAACGAACTAGATCGCCCCATGCTTGTCAAACCGTCCTGATGGTTTGTGGTTAGTGATAGTTAGTAAAGTTGTGTGACACATTCATCGCAAGGCCACACATAGGCTTCTGCATATAAGCGGGATTAGGAAAAACGCCACCACAAATGAACAGGTCTCATATCATAATGAATAGGCAAAAACAGCATCAACCCTACTAGCTTTAGCTCGTGTTAAATAAGGGAACTTTAATTATTATGTAAATATAATTGTTACAAAATTATATTTAGTGTCTTTTTAGAGCCTAATATAAATATTTAAATATGATCGGTTGACAGAAAAGCTAACAGGAGAGACATCGTTTAACACCAAAATCGTTATTTTAAGTTCGGTCTTATAGATTTAATAATAACACTCCATTTAAAAATTTACTGATTTAATGCTAGATAACTGACGTCTCTGAATTAGACCGTACTACATTTAAAAAGACACATCCAAATTTCGTTCGTGTATCGGCGTGAATGACTCGCTACTGACGCGCTTGGCTGCGTCGGGGGCCGCTTATTGCGCCGCTATCTTTTAAATAGCTCCTTTGTGGAAAATCTATCGGAAGCTTGGAAGCTCAGAAATCCGTGGAGCGCCGTGTGGAAATATCAGTTAAATTTTTTTGGAATAGTCAATCATAATATTTCGACTAAGACCGTAAAATGGTGATTTTTGGAATTACCATGATTTCAACTCGATACCTAATTTCTTTACGGGATTTAATGCATAGTAGTTGATAGTTGGAACATGATAATCGTACGGTATACCTTTGATGAATACAAAAGAGTTTCTACATTCAAATTTAGTGATTTCTAAAGTTACGTTGTTTCAAAGCCAATGATGTGTTGAAAGAGATGACGCATACTGCGCGGTTTTCATCAATATATGACGTATGTAAGTGAATGTGACAGATGATATATAACCTATGATACGGCAGGAGATAGCAGATTAATCAACTACAACGATTGCCTTGGTTTCGGCGCGATAGTGTCATATCTACCTATCATATTTGTATATAATCTATCATATTTGTATATAATATCATTGTTCAAAGCACCCAGTACGTAACATTGTAACCCCTTCGTCTATCGATCATCAAACGATGTTCGTGAAAATCCTCTCGCGTGAGACGACGTCTCATCGATCCCCTGTTCCCGTCCGGCGCCGTTTGTCTCCAGCGCACCTCCGCGCGTCCGATTTATGGCACAGTTTTGTGAACTCTTAACCGTTACGTGATCTGCTTCCGAATCCAATTTATGCCCTCCATGGGAAAAGTTCACCAGTGCCGCCAATACTTTACGACTCGCCCCGCTCGCGCCAGACCCACCTTCTGTCTTGTGTACTGAAAACGGTTCTTTGATTATCGTTAGATTGATTTCTTTTTATTAGTCCACATGTCATTCCTGAGTTGCTAATAATCTACATATAAAAATTTACAACGGTTCACGTTCAGGAGATTGTTTCTCAGAATGCGAGTGATTGTTATTCTTGATATAAAAAAACAATGTGGTTGTGTATATGTACAAATTATATCATTTGTGTACTAATGATATAATTTGTGAGTCAGTCGAAAAATGCAGCATAATGAAGTTTAAAATACATTTTAATGTCAGTTTATGTTTAGTTACAACGTGGAGGTCGATTTTAATAATTTTTCGTCCCTTAAATGAGGACAAAAGTCTCATCGATCCGAAATAGATGTATCACGGCGTCCGGTCGCCGTCCGACGTTTAGTATTATTATTTATTGACAGCCCCTTCCCGGTTCACTTTTAACTTCGCCCCTCGAGTCTCAATCCAGCAAACAAATCGGAAGAAGTAATTATTAAAACGCTGCAAATAAAGGGCTTCTGGAAAATTTGGTTCGATTTTATCCGACGCGCTTTTCTGTTGTCTATAAACAAACCGTTTTGGTATTCTGCTTTTGCTATCTTTAAAAACATACGAAGTTTTCATTAATGTTTAAGAAATTTAATATTTAATTTTGTATACTAGTAGATAGATCATGGAAACTATGTATAAACAATTTCATAGACCTTACCTGAATATTTAAGAATATTTTCTCGGGGAAGAAGCAATATCTGTCATGGAAGTTGAAAACTTATATCGCGATTCGCGTTGATAATAGTAACAATTATTCGACAAAGATTTTACAATACACCAGTAAAAAATAATACTGTTGACTAATGTTATGACTTTATTTTTCAAGTTGACGTGGATGCCTAAATCCGAAACGACGACGCATAGAAAGAAAACCCTCAAAGGTGTCCCGTTGTTCGTTACAATTGCCAAATACACCACATATTTTTACTAAAAAATATCCTTTACCGCCTGAAGGAAAGAAAATTCCCTTGAAAGGAAATTTCGTAACTGAGGAAATGGCATAATCTACATTCGGCCGTGAGCCGGAAATCGAACGATTGGTAGTTTTGTTATTTCGCGGGCGAGATCCTTTGTTGCATGGATTCGCGTTAAATGGGCGGGAAGTTAGTGCG